CCCTGCAAATCATCGAAGGGGAAACCAATACATGACTTTACCTGATAGAAATCGGAAGGAAGTTTTCGTTCCGAATTTATTTTAGCTGTTAATCGAAAGGGCTTCCCGGACAAAAAAAATAGTAAACACAAATAACTATATAAAAAACTACGACTTAAAGCAACTGTTCCACCTTACAACTGAGCATTTTTGATATATTCCGAAGGATATTTATAAAGAATTTCTGTAACTTGAGTTTATTGCTTGTAAATATGAAGTAGAAAATAATATTGAAATCAATAATTATAGCAGAATGTTGATTTGCTTTTGACTAGTGCACTAACCTTTTATCCTCGGTTGGGCATAGTGCCTCTTTAATTATTACAATATTAATCATTTGGCATTTTTTTTAGAATTGAAAACTAATAAGTAAAAATAGTAATGATCATATAGTCAGAATTGCAATTAAATACAGCTTGAAAAGTCTCGACTAATACGTGATGAATGTTAAATGAACTTAAATTAAATTGCAATTTTAATCCTTGTAATCAAATTACTTATACATGTATATTGAGAGTTATAGTTTTGTGACTTTGTTACTAACACGAATTGTTTTATTCTCGTTACTTTCCCCTTCAGAGTCTTGCGAAGATTCTTTGAACCATACACAGCAAAATAACTATCTCTACATAAATTTGTGGAGTGGTTGGCGTGTATCGGACGTGATATGGCACAACATGACTTTATGGGATGGACATATGCAGATACCAGAGAAAGACAATGTAGCTTTGGAATGTTTTACTACATTGGGAAATCTATTAGTGATAGCAGGTTTATTTGAGAATCTTTAACATCACAATATAAAAAAAGTATTATACTTTTTCTATCGTGAGTATGTTTTAATTCAATTTTATTTTAATGATATTTTTAATCAAAGATGGTTCAGTCAATGTGTCACGTTCTCAACAAATGTTTTGTTTTCAAAGTACAGCTCTGCGTAAATTATCTGGTAAAATATCCGATTCGAAAATTTTCTATCAGGTTGATAATTTGTTATGCAAAATACTGCACATTAATAGAAATGTGTTATCATGTTCATTTATTATTTCTTTTTTGTTAAGACAAGCATCCTAACATCGATGATATAACTGCAAACATTACTGAAGTAAAGGCGTGCACCATAGATGAAAATAAAAAGTGTATAAGGCCCGTGAAAGTCCTCATAAGAAAATGCAATGGAAATTTATTGTACAGATTTCCATCGTTCAATATCACGAATGTACAAAATGAATACATTTGCTTTGGTAAGTGGTAAAAATGTTGTGTTAAAAAGATACGTATAACTTGCATTATGCATATGACTGACTGTATGTCGAAATTATGCATCTCATTCTAAACCTTTTAGAATGTGATTGAAATGAGTACATTAGACAAAAACTAAGAAAACTCACACTATTATTTAATTTAACTGTTGTCACTATTTTACTTCTAAATATTTAGTGACATTTTTGAAGTTTGATAATTCAATTTATGTTCTATTTCCAATGGAAAGATGTTTGTTCTCATTTACCAATACTTTTTTGTTAGACGTTAGGATTCCTTTAGCTAATTCTTTTACACATGCATTACTTTTGTCATACCCTATTCTATTCACAATGTAAACCTATATTTGAATAATGGTTTTCTTACTTATATTGATAAAAAGATATTTTTCTTTTAATTTTAGATAAAATATATTCAGGAAGTTAGTAGCATCTTTGATTTAATATTCTTTATTTCGAATCGAATCAATGAATAATTAAAAGAACATATGTCACGTTTCTTAACGACCACAAATAGTGAGATGAAACGATGCATTCTTATCTATGACAAATGCACTTTTTTATTGGAAATTGTTTCCGAATTATTTCGGATTTGTTGGATAAAACCAATTTGATTATTCTAAAAGACGAACCCTGAAAGCTATTGGATTTTGATTATCATTAATCCGAATTAATGGAAGCTGATTTTGTTATAAAATATTCACATGTTTTTGTTGTTTCTTTTCTGTTGTTTGTTTATTTTTTTTATCGTATGTGTCACTAAAACATCTTGACAAAAGACTCACATATATCGTGAATGAAATTCCTTGTAGTTCTTTTAAATATATCGGGCTATTCTGTTTCATATTACATAAATGCAAAGTAAACAACATATTGTTATTGTTACAGCCCCTTGCAAAGACGCCATATCAATAGAGCATAATGAAAATCCGAGTAAATATGGCAATATCTTGAAATTCACTCCTAGTGTCGGTTGGACTGATACATCTGTCAGATGGAAACAGTATGCTTGGCCTTCTCTTGCGGACAAAAACATTATATTTGATGAATGTTCAGTGGCAAGAGAAAGTAATTGGTACATATTTTCACAAGGTATAAAGCTATATTATTAAATGGAGAAAATCCGTTCTTCATTTGTATCAAAAACTAAAATAAATTATAATAATGGTAATAAAAAAATAAGTAAAACTTAAAGCTCTTTCTCCATCTGCATCTTATCCTGTATCCTGGTAAAAAAGAAAAACACGTTACAGCTATTGTGTATTATTCTGTATAAAATTTATTGATGACAGCCAAAATTTTCTGAAAGAGTTAATTTAAATGTATCTCCAAAACATTTTTATACTGGTTATTTAATCATTTATATAATACCTTCTATTGACCATGCATACCCTTGTTACATTTAGAACATTACATAAAGAAAAATGTGAAGGATAGGGTGATGGTGGCTATAAAGAAAATTGTCTTTGTTTATCAAAAACATATCATATTGTTTTCTTAGCATGCTTTTTATCCATGTGAATTTGTGTAAATTTAAATGTGCTATATTGTACAGAACTTTTCATATCGGTTTCTATATCAAATAATAAAAACCGGAAGCAGATATAAATCTGTATGTATATATATTTTAACAAGTAGTCACTTAATATCAAGAACACTTCATTTAGCACCAATAGTTTGTGATTTTGTTCAGTTAGACACTTGTCCTTTTGACATTTATAATGTTTAGGTGAATATGTCCATAAAAGTTGTTTACAATAAAAGATTCGTGATACCAGAAATAAAAAGTAAGTATTATATAAATTTCATTCTTAATTACTTAAAAGTCTTTAAACCTTGTATTTTCAATTAGTACTATTTTAAGATTTTTATCAATATTTGAGATTTTTTAAACTTTATCCATTGTTCACCAATGCTCTTTAAAACATAATATTTAACATAATATTTTTTTCAAAGTTAATAATGATATCTGTTATGCTTTTCAGAACCTTTACCAAGTGATATAGGTGAAGAGGCAAAAAGGATAGTTGTGTGTTATGTATCCAAGTTGTTTGGCTATTACAATGTCATTTATGATGGGAAAGGAAATTGTCATTATTATGCTTATGTCAGATCATGCAATGGAAATCTCCAATACGATTTAAGTGCAGCTAGCTATTACTTGCGGGAAGTCTGTTTCAGTAAGAAAAGTCAATTCAATGAAGCTTAATATATCAAGATGCTATTTGGCAAATTGTTATTATTTCATGTTTGATATCCAAAACATGTAGAATATCATAGTTTTATGTGATAATTATTGGTCGAAAATAATGCTTGGAAAGGATACAATATTAATGAATTTATGCTCTTAATTTCTTTTTTTTTTTAATTTCAAAAGTTGTCGGTATTTCATTGTAAACGCTACGGTATAATCTTATAATTTTGTCTTCAGCCTTTACGAAGAAAAAGAGGGAATGTAGAAGTATGTCCGTCCGGGCAAACATCCCATGGTCTTTTAGCTTCATTCCGTCTATAATCGGAGTTACAAAAGAAGGAAATCCCATAAACCAAATGGTTTATGTGGTAATTGTAATGGTTTATGTGGAAAACTGCCACATAAAGATCAAAGAAAAGGACATAAACTCCAAATGTTGGCATGTCCGTCCCTCAGTGCGTCCGTTGTCTGCCTTTTTAAAGGAATCAAATGAATTTTAAATAACACAAATGTTTGTTATGATAGGACAATTTGTCACGCACAAAACCCTAACCCCTATCTCCAATCTTCTATCTATAACAATACAATGAATCGTGCACAACACCAACCCCCTACATTTAAGGGCAAGGTCATTCTTAAGGTCAAAGCTTCACACGGTCTTTTAAAGGGTATATTTCGTGTCCATTCAATGATTTTTTGTCGTTCAAATGATTTCAAAATTACTCGACACAAAAAGGACGACGTGTTATAGGCAACACCCAGACTCCTACTTCAAAGGTCAAGGTCACACTTAGAGGTCAAAATCAGAAATTGTCCGTACAGGGCATGCACATAAAATGTCATTGGTGAATCGATGTTCGATGAAAAGTTTACGGACTTGACACGAGATTTACCCTGTAACAGACGGCACCTTCTATTAATTTTGTATTTGTCTTATTTTGAAATAGTCAATTATACAAATGTATTTTTCTTGATTTCATTTTATTTCTTTAATGAAGTTTTTGTTGCTTGCATGTGCAAGTCTAGCATTGGTCAATATTTTGCACAGGAGTTCAGATCCACAACTCAATCGTTGGTTAAAAGTCTTGTTCTTCTATTATTCTTCTATGTGTAAATGACAACAACCATATTGCCAACTACCCTAAAAGCCTTTATTTAATAATGTTACAATTTGTTAAATATTTTATGTACTGACTTTTATTCTGTCTTTTCAAAAATAGATATACAGAGTTTGTTTTTGGCCTCTTTTTTTCAATTAATTTTAGTACACTACAACAATGTTAAAGTACATCCGAGAATCGTTCATGAAGAAAATACAATTGTAGAAGAAGGGAAAGAAATAGCCATGTACACAAGTAGTCTGCAATATAGATGTTCCTTTGATGTCATGGAAAACACACAGTATATAGCAAACTGGTATCCTTGTGATAGTTTCTTTTTGATAAATGTTGTAACTTTAATCATCGAAAATAAAATTACCAATATGATACCATTTCTAATTAAACAAAGATCGACGTGTTAAAGTAATATGCGTGCAAAGTCTAAACCGTATCAGTGTTTAGCGCAATAACATATGATAGATATTAGTAAAGAACGTCGCCAGGGTAAAGAAAATAAAAAACGAAATGTAATTAGAGAAATTTTTCATAATTTAAACTTTGAAATTTCTGGCCAGATGGGTTCCGTTGCTCTACACATGTATCCCAATGTTTGCTTTTAAATCAACTTACTCTTTTGATTATTAATGTCTCTCACTATTTCTGTGGGTTTGTTTATTAAATTGATTTTTGAATGACACCCCGTCAGTGCGCCACCCCTGTGTTTTCTTCTGTTTTTGTTTGCAGCACTGCTATCTTCGAATGCAGTGTTGCTTTTAACAAACAGCCAAATATTCATTTATTCCGATTAGTCTGAAAAAGAGTCATTAAAGATGTTCTAAAATGTGCACATGATCGTAACTTCTTTATTATAAATAAAAGGTATATAAACGGAAGCTTTCGAGTACAGATGGGACCATCTTCTGATCTTGATGATTTGGTGTTTAAAGATAATTATCTGACTACTTTGAAACATGGATATGAGGTATTTTTTAAAAACATTTATAAAAAAAACAAATAATTAAGGCGAAAACTTTTCTTTTAATTTTCTATCTAAGTTGACTTAACCGGATGCATATAAAAATATTGTTTTTTTTACTTCTGAATTGATTCCAGTGTCATTCCACGTAAAATGTTTGATGACTGATTAATGTTATCTTTAATATGATAACGAGATCTTTTCACCTCTTAAGATTTTGTGGTATATTTCCGAACTTTGTTTTAATAGGTGATTTGTGGTATTTTCCCTGCAGCTGAAAATGAGTCCACGGAAGCTGTGAGTGATGCTTACTACGCCGGTTGGAAAGTAAATACAGAATAAATGTGATATTTTATTTACACCGTTTATTACACCGTTTACGTTGTATAATATAAAGATTTTTTTGTAATGTAACATATAACCAAAAAAGTGAATTAAGAGGCAAAGGGAATTTTAAGTGTATAAACATTAACTTTGTTTGAATCGCAACCTTTTATAATTCTTTTGCAAGTCTTCCAAAATGATAGTATTAATATATTATTCATGTGCATATGAATGATTTCAGATTCAAAATGAAAACATCATACTAAGTAAAAGTGGAGATGCTACTGTGACAATCGAGCAAACTATTCCGCTAGGATGTTCTTACAGGGAAGACGATGCAGCAAACTGTCTGGAAACACTAACGTTTGAAGACATTGTAAATAAGGCTGATGACTGTAGCGGTGGAATAGAAGTAAAAAGTTTCGATGATCCAAGCAAACCGTTTATAGAAATTCAGGTACAGAGTATAGTTCAATTCATTTATCGTTTGTCTTGTCCACACTTTTTTACTCTTATATGCTTTTAAAGGGTATAAATCTTTATCTTGAGAAATATTTTTATAAAATTTATCAACAGTAGAATTATATTGGTTCCATTATTATATGGCTGATTCCCAAAAAAGTTGCAATATAGAATTTCTACATAATTAATACACATGAACAATGTACGTAAATAGAATAAAATGTTCCGGAACAAAATATTATTTTGCTATTTTAAGTAGAGTTTTATCCGTTTAGCAATGATTCTATGCATGCGCCATTCGCTTAAAGGTAATTTAGTGCCATTTTTATTTCATACAAACACTTTGGAAGTATTCTTTCTTAAAATCCAAACAATAATTTTGCATCAGATATATAGCTTTATATACTTTAACAAGCGTCCATTTTCCGTATTTTAAACTTGTTAATATATTTTAATTTCTAAATATAAAAGCATCCGTATGAAAATGTTTCTTATATATATATATTTTTTCTTATCAATATTCATTTATATTGCATGCTCTTCTAAGATAACTCTTGTCAAGAAGTATGGCCTTTACATTATATGTTCAACATTAAGCAAATGCTTGAAGTTCGAAAATTACATGCAGCCATGAATTTTAAATGCACTGTTATTTTGTTTGTTTTTGTTGATGTTGTTGTTCTTTAATTATGATTTCACTGTTATAGGACGCGATTTGCAGTTTCATATTATTTACGGAACGCAATGTTTATAATTGCACGCAAATTAACATAAATTTCATAAACGTTTCTAGCAGCAGGTGTTGTTTTCCATAAAAAAATCGCATTTTGTTTCGAATATAAGATCAAACGTAATACAATTAATCAAACCAAAACGCTTTTGGTTGTTATGATAAAACATAAACCAATTATTTTATATATATTGGAAGTTAATAGCACATATTTACTAACATAACAATCATCTTAAGTACATGCTTTATTATTGTGATACCATTTTTTTTCTTTTAGAAATTGAGAAAAGGTGAGGTGTGGGCAAAAAAAGAATTTAGAGCATTGCTTTCATCTTTAGACAATAACTATGACGATTGGACGGATTTTGACCTATTATTGCTATTGACAAATAATAGCAGTGGTTATATCGGAGAGTCTTCGCCACAGGTATGAAGAATCTTAATGTTTAGCTTTAATGACTTTGATACAATTATATTTGAAATTATCATTACTGTGATTGTATTTTTTTGTCATCACAACATGAGCAGGTGTCAATTGCTGTTTGGTAGGTGTAAAAAGTTGGTCTGTATTTAACGTCCTTGTTGTTTTAATGTTCTGTTGTTTGATAACTGTACTAGAAATTAGATATCGCATACGCTAATGCGGGAGAGACGTTGCGCTTTAATTTATATTTATCTCTCTATAAAAAAAATCAGTGAAATCGAGTCTGTTTGCAATTTTCATAGTATAATATTGTTTAAATTGATTTCGATATCTCCAATTCGAGATTTTTTTATTTCTATGCGGATTGAATTCATAATAACATGTTCCTTTTTCTGCATTGTCCTAACATTTAGAAAAAAAAATGCCTACTATTTCTTTTTTGCAGGTACATATAGTTGGCGCAGTTCATGTAAGTGCAACCATTAATGATATTTAGTTTATATATATATTACTTTTAAACATTTTTTTTAATTTTGATTTAGTAAAAATTAAGCATATTTAAATATCTTGAATGCGAATGACGACATTTTGTTGATTCAATTTTATATATTTATCGAGATATTTACGAATAAAATAGATAAATATTAAAAATTGTATAATAAACTGCATATAATATGACTAAACTTTTGAAATTGTTTTCTGATTATAAAAGTTGTTATAGTAACATAAAAAAAGACACTGGAAATCAAAAGATTAAAATAATTCGCATATCGACCCGCGATAATGAAACTGCTAGCGCATTAGTAAGTGAACAAATATCTATAACGTTATTGAGTAGATATTATACTCTCATTGCCGTTATATCTTTTCTGGGAATTTCGATGTAATTCAGTTATCTCAACTTGATCTATGAGATTAAAAACAAACTACTTAGTAGTTGAGTTGGATGCTTTTATAACTTTGCGTTCCTATCATTTAGCAAATAAAATCCCAAAATTTGTGTATGATATTTGCTTACATTACTTGTTAGTTGTTTCTTATTATATTATTTTGTTTTGTTTTTATTAATAGTATTTTTAATAAACTATAAATTTTGTACACAGTCATCACTGCCAAGTATATCTTTATTCGAATAAGAGCGCAGCGATATAACCAAAACCAAGAATAATGAAAATTTATAAACTTTTACTATATTTTTCAAACTTAAGTGATTATATTTTGATAAATGTAACATTTTTGTCGTATATTGATTATCAAACTCTATTTCATTATAGACATTACGAAGCACAAAAAGAGGGGAGACCTACATGTTGTTCTTGAATAAAAATATTCAAACTGAGGTAAATTGAAAGTTGTCTTACTTATTGACTGGCTGTTGCAATTTATTTTCCCCCCCCTTTCATAAAAGCTGCGCACATATAAAACTGATTAAGAAGTATCTTTTATTTAACAAAAGTACATATGTACCATTTTTTAAAATTAATAAATTAACAGCTGCAGAAACCGCCTTGGACATATCAAATATCACGCCCTGAATAGCTTGGACTATAGATGCCCCACATGCTTTGCTATGTCAATGCACGAACAAATCCACACTGTTGAAATTCCTGCAATAATGTGAGAGTGAAAAGTTTTTCCCCCAGTTTTGCACACCTACATTTTTTACTGAATTAAGGTGTCTTCATTCAACCAAAATTGGGTTTTTGAACTATTTCCTCATATATCACAGTGCGTGTAACAAAAAAAAATGTTTAATTTTTTAGTAGAGGGGGGTAAAAAGAATCTCAATTTAAAAAACCGATCAGACTACTTTGTTTTCATGTGGCTTTTTTACATTAGATCATTGGGCAACGGGTAAAATTAAATTTTGAAAACATTTTTAATCTTTAAAGATAACCTTTTTCTATCTTTAACAGACTGGGAATATTGAAAGCCCTGTTTACACGGGGCCTGTTTTGTTGTGGAGTAGCGTCCTGGGGCGCTGAATTTTTATAATTAATAATTGCCACGCAAACCTTTTCAATGTCAATCTACAATATGCAATTTGAACTTAAATTTTTCACGTATCGTCATATGTATTATTATATTTGTAAAAGACTTATAGAAAAAGATATAATACGTTTTTCTTTATTTCATAGCTTTTCATTATGAAAGAAAGTTCCGTTTACTATTGAGATGATTTTTTTTTCAAAAAAACTCAATAATCCAATTCCCCTTAAAAGCTATTTCTCGTATAATTATTAATTATTGAAATATCCAGTACAATTTTATCTTTTAGGTAGAACTCTAATGAACACAATAATTGAAATATCCGAATATGGAGTGATACCATGAACTGTCATGGTAAAGCGAGCATGATACTTTCAGATATTTTTTTTCTTTTTACTAATTTCTTGTGTAAAACATCTTCAAAAATGCTAATAAATGCATTTGTAATAACAAAGCATTTAGTTATGATTATGAACTATTTTTGTTTTAGGTTCGAACACCAATTGGTACATTGATTGAAATATTTTTGTTTGGTCACGTTATGAACATTGACGTGTACATGTCCCCGAAAGATTTTGAAAATGTGGCCGGACTTTGTGGAAATTTTGACGGGGATAGATCTAATGATCTAGAACATAGGAATGGAACTATTTCTTATGATGACAACAAAAGTTACAGGTTTGCTGATAGTTGGAGGTACGTTATGTTTAGATGGGTAAATTAAAATTTAATCTGTATTACCAAATGAAAGAGCGTTTTAATTGGCATCTCTTTTTATGTATATCTGAATGTATGTTTAATTAGTTTGCTTTTAATAGTTTGATATCAAGTGTTTTGAATATTTATTGTAATTCAAATTAACTAGTAGATCTTGAATCGAAAAGCTTAAGTATTAATATCTTACATATTTAAATTCAATACTGCAACTTTATCTGTTTTCCCTTTTGTATGGCCTGCTTCAGAGTGGCGGCGACATACAGGGATAATTTCTCTCGTCCGTCCGTCCGTCCGTCAATACATATTTCTACGTTATTTAGCTAAGAACTATCATATTTTAATTACAGATTAACGGACGAAGAAAATCTATTTAAGAACCCAAACCGTAAACTTGATCATTGGAATGGGAATAATGTTGGCAAGACATGTTCAAGACCAAATTCAATAACAAAAAAGAAATGCAAGCTAAGGAATAGGCAAAGGCAAATACGTTCCATTTCTGTACCCCCTGAGACGAAGATGTATAAACAATATAGTAATCTATTGTCGCGAAAAAGGGTATTGTTAGTCTTCCTTTCTTATGAAAAAATATTTTGCAATAAATCTTTCTGTATGTTCTTTATAATTTTTTATTTGTCTTTTTATTTTAAATTCATTCTCTTTAGCTATTGACCTTGCATCAATTGAAGTATTTGATGTATTTGTAGAGAAACACAATCAGTTTAACTGAGGACGAGGCATTTCAATTGTGTAACCATTCAATATATACAACACCAGCAGTCCAAGAAATTTCCAGATTCATCTTCGCTTGGGGAAGAATCCGAGATATTGTTCGCTAGAACAGACGTGATTGTGGATGACTATATCGGATCCTTATATCTGTACTTATTCATTGCTTATGAATATCTTATATGCCTATTTTTACCTCGAGTTTGGAAACATACGTTTCAAATTTTAAATGAATAAACCTTAGAATGTTTTTATATTCTCGTTACATCCTGTTTTCTGTGTGCTTTTTTTATTTTTGTTAAATGCATACGCGTTTTAACATGTGAAGTGACTGGTGATGAATCGTTTATAATTCTACTAAAAAAAAACACATGCTACGTAAAAGACCTTTTTCTATAAACTGGTCGCTGTAATTACGAATGTCAAAAAATATGTGCGATTTTCTTAAATAAGGATACTGGATGACTGTGCCTGTGGGGGCTGGAAATTATTATCAGTTATATCATCAATGAGGGAATATGTATACACTCAAAATTGGATGTGTGTTTGGTATAAAATGTCATGAAACATAGAAATCAGTTTCTGTGTACAAAGTAAAAATATGTCTATTCCAAAGTATTTTTTTATTAAAGCAAGGAAATGACACAGCTTTGGATTATGCACCACGTGTCGGTTGTTGAACCAATGCTGTAGATACAATTCTCAGAATGGTTCCAGTTTTCGCCTCTGCTAACACACAGAAAAAAAAGTAAACTTCGTTTCGCGATGAAATTGTCTAAGATAACTGTAGTGGAAGGATTCTGCTGCCATCACTGGTAAGGTACGTTATTACATTCCTCTCTTGATTTAGACTTGCATTTTAAATTTAAACAAACATTCCTGTCAAACAACCAAAATGTGATAATTAAGCTGTTTTAATTACTGTCTATTCAGTATGTCATTATTAAATGATAGCAAGCTTTGATATTTATAAAATTATTATCAGTGTCCTCTCAAATTTAGGACTTTGTTGAATGGCAGTGGAACTTTCACAAGGGCTGACTGCAGTTATTGTATTATAAGAATTCCACCGGTTGTAATTGAAATAGAAGGCGACGGAGTTTGTACGTGACGGATCGAGCGACGCATTGCACATGTTTTCCAAATACGGACAGACAACATATTTGAATGTTTTATGGTCAATTTTACCCAGTTAAGGTCTTATTCGTCGTATTTCATAATTTTCTTGTATCAGGACAGGTAGTGAATAAATATTTCGTTGATGATGTCAATACAGTAATAAATCGATGAGTTTATCGATCGTTTTAGCGGCACAATAAGCTCTTACTGTCAAATATTCCTCTCACTGTGAAGGAAAAGATATATTAACTATAAAATATACAATTATTGGATTATCCTTTTTTGGATTGTTCATTTGTTAACTTCATGCTTTACCAGAGATATATTAAGAGTCACGTAACATTTAAAGTGTTGTAGCGTGCTTGACAATACTTGTGATTGTTTAAGTGTCATTAGTCTTTATACCTTACTTAGGTGTACTCCAAATGAATTCACGATTATGGAAGGAGTTCATTCAACAGATCTTGGTTATTACGAGGTATCGTTTACTGGCGAATGCTGGTCCCCTGTGATTAATGAATAAGCGTTAACACGGACAAATGACAAACTGTCTTCATCATGTACGAAATTTCTCATTAGCAATGATTTGGTGCGAATTATTGGGTGATGTATTAACCTGGTCTATTATCTAATGATAGTGAATGTGTTGACCAGGTTGAGATTAATGATGCAGTCACCTTCAAACTAAAGGTATTTTTAAACATGATTTTGCTATAGCTGGATATTAGTGATGCAAATTGTAAAGGCTTGAAAGATCATGTCGGACTGTCAAATGACTTGATAACCATACAACATTTTATTTATATTTTTGAATACCACAACTGCCAGAATTCTTCGATTATATAAAAGGGCTTTCTGTGTTGTTAAGGTTTACTTTCTGTAAATACTGGATTTTTTCGACTGCTTTTGTTGACGTGCGATAAAATGTGTAGATGTTTGTAAATACTAGAATGGTCTCTATTTTCGATTAAATTCAGAATTATTAACATTGAAAATATGTCTTGGATTATAGGGATTACCGTTTTGCATTCATTGCATGTGTGTGCATTGCTCAGAACTTCGACAATGGTTCGCATGCTTTATATGTGACCCTGCAAACGATCCGTACGCTGTGGACAAAGGGTAAGCACCATATATTTGTTAATGAGTGTTTTTGGTTGGACATTAAAGCGTGCATTTTAGTAAAGGTATATATTAACTGTTTACTTCAGGGCCTTAAAAAAACAAGCATTCTTTGTATTTATTTAGCCTTTTCAAAACAACATTTTTGTTAAATCTTATCAATAATGGTTTCAGAAGAAATATGATTTCAAAGGAAAAAAAAAACCACAAGGTATTGTTTAATTTTTTAACCTGTCAATAGTATAGCTGATATAACGGTCAGAGCGCACGATATATCAATTTCCAATAAATGTTTCGGACGGATCGTCAATGTAGCAAGTAAGATGCGCCTTAATGTAATCGTGTGTCTATGAGGTAAATGTATGAACGTCATCTCGTAGCGCATAAGAATTAACTATTTAAGAAATAATATATCCCAAAAAGTGATGCTCAATAAAATTCACTTGTTGGAATACATAATGCGCGCGGAATATATATCACCGAGGACATATAGCCCGATATAGTTTTTTTTCGATTCTAACCACGACATCAACAATATAATGCTTCCGTTACCAGATGTAAATCTAAATTGCGCCCGATTTGTATTCTGTACTTTTTTACAGCGCGTTACATTTTTGGTGGTCTTTATGGTCACATGGTCTAAATATAGAACCTCCGCAGTGATTTTAAATTGCATAATAACATACACTTCGGTTCTTTTTGTGTTCAATCGGGAAAAAATGCGGGTTCGTGTGAGAATTGTTTGCACATTACTACATTTAATCCAGGCCGCGTAGGTTCTTATTTTTTACTTTGTATCAACAATGGAACCTATGTTTGTTTTTACATTTTTTTTTTTTTTTTTTCTTTTTATCTTTTTGTAATTACTACATTGCTCCAACCAGGTCTGCGTTTACATATATATAGATATATATATACGATAAAATAAGGCTTTTGTTCACATACGAGTGATCATCAAATAAAGGACATTACAATTTGTATGATAACATCCGTTAGTATAAGGCGGAAAGTATACCACATAAACAACGGACTTCAACTTTAGCGCCTTGTTTGTTGATTTTAGCTGGTCTTATATTATGTAAACAGAAAATTGCCACAAATAGTTGCGAGTTTACACGTACTAAAGATTAGTTTGGGTTCGTCTGGCACTCAAAATTAGAACAGGAGTTGATATGGCAAACCCACTTTATTTACGACATATAGTATTTCTGTTTATCTTAAGTTTAATAAAATTGCAGCTTTGATGCTTGACAAGTTTAGTTTACAGCTTTGGTAATTCTATGATTTTGTTATAATTATGTCTGTCTCAATATTGTATTTGTAAAAGACTACTTTGTACGTACTTGTGGTGTCAAAATTTAGTTTTTGGCAACATTTCTACTCAAACAAACATTCAGTGTTGCATATCATTTTTACAGCAGATTTATTTCCATAATCAAAACATTGCATCTTCACCCAAAACTTACATTAAAAACCAATTTTTGTACCAACCATAAACAATTCGGTGTTTTAAAACTGTTAGACTAAGTCAAGGATTGGGAATATTTAATTGAAGCATATCACGTGTCTTTTTTCTGAAATTCATTTTGTAGATGATTGTAAAGATCTTCGGTTACTGAAATAGGGAACAGTGGATTATGTGTTAGGAAATCGTTATTGGGATCGACATATTGTTTGTCGTACTCATATCAGTATTGATAATTACATTTTTTTGGCATCCAAAGTTTTAAAGAAACACAGGTAAAATGTTGTTTAAGTGGACTCTATATGAGATTTTTTTACATGATTGTTGTATGGAAAATATGTTTTTTAAAGATTATTTTTCCATTTTATTGTAAGTCTAGACCCAATACCTTTCGTTTACACACGCGTTTCCAAGTTGTCTGAGTCATATCTCGCTCGTATCCAAATTTTGTAGAATAATTGTTCCAAATGTGAAATTTACCCAAAATTGAAAAAGCTTTTTCAACTCTTAAACACGGCCAAGAATAGCTATAAAATACAATATTTAGTTTTTGTTTTCTGAGTTAAATTTCTTATTTTTGCTAAGATCTCTGTAAAGAAAGTTACAAATTTTATGTTTAAGGCACTTGGACCTAGTACAAGTTCCATTGCATATATTTTATTTTGAAAATTGTTATTACTATTATATGTTACCGTTATGTACCTGCTACATGTTAAGGCATTATGTATTTTTTATTGTATTGTGAGTTTTTGATTTTTTTTGATTTTATTTCAATTTAAGGCGGCCGTGCCGTTTCTATGCTCGTTCTGTGCTGTGTTCCATTCACTTGTGATGTGATTAGCCCGCGTACTCGAGCTATTAGGTTGGCAAGTGTCTTTATTCCAATAAATTAAATCTCATGACAACAATCAGCTGATCAAATCACATATTAATAGGAAATGTGCCGGGAAATTATGACTGTTCACTGCCAGGTAGTGTCGTCAAGATAAAGATTTTAATATTTGATTATTCAGGTTCATCTATTGGCGTTCACAGAAGCGCAATGGTTCCAACGCATAACTTGCAATCAAAGATGCCGCACCAGAAGCAAAGTGCAGGAAAACTCAGATCATCTGCTAGACCAAATATTGAACAGAACATAATGATCGGTACAGCACATCACATGAACCAAATCACTGAAATGTTACATGTAGAGAAAGGTGCCTCGGCTCAGGAAACCGATGTTTTTTACACACCGATCGACAAGTATGAAACCGACGACTTAGAAACGTAAAGTTTGCAACACCAAGCGAAAGTAAACTAAAGAGAGACATTTCATTTATCAACATTGAACTTGAGTGAAAGTCGCGTATCATTTCCAACATGAATCAAGACAAATGCATTTTGAAGCATATATAATCTCAG